TTTGTAATTCATTTGACAGTTGTTCTTAATTGAAACATGAAAATACATTCTTAAAAAAAAAAAAATTTTTTATGCAAAGTTCTTACAATTTTCCATCAAGACATACAATTCTTAATACACTTAAGTATCAGATAACATAACATTAATACCAGGTTTCTTCTTTATAGTGTTGTTGAACAATTTGAGCCCTTGTTCCTTAAGGATAGCTGTCAGATTGAACATACATTGACCTTGAGCAATGACTTGAGTGAATTTACAAATTAATGTCATTCTGTATGATGTGATGAACACATAAAATTTAATTTTAAAAACTTAATTTTTAGAAAGTCTTTGATGACTAGTAGTAATTCCAAACTACTAAATAATTTTGTAAGAATTTAAAAAACAATCTCTATTTCCTATATATGACATTTGTCACCTGTCACTTTGAAAAATCGTTTAAAAGGACCGACATTTGATTTCACTAGTTCTATTCAGTCTACATCCTCACATTCCTCACATCAATAGATGGTCGGGTCTTAAACCCGTACCATGACAAAAAAATTTTTCAATTTTTTAACGTGTTTGTGACGTCCAGTGTCGACCTTTTATATGTTTTTTTATATGTTTTAAAAATTCCAACTCCTACAAAATCATAATTGTGAAACTTAAGGAAATGAGATCTCTCCTTTGTAGTGGTATTTAAAAATTGACGTAAGTTAAAAATTACAATCTTTACCAATTAGTACTTATTAGAACATTTTATTGTAGCATAGCTCTGATGATGGCTTTGTAAAGCCGAAAGCGCTCAGCTAGGAATTGCCTAAAATATACACACTTCAAAAATACTTTTTTGCATTTTCTTTCGACTTGTCATAAGTGTGTACAAAAAATATCAGTCTTTTGATTATTAAAACATATAGAACCAGTACAAAGATTCCAGTATCTTGGTTGCTGGATAACAAACGATCTTGACCACGAGGTCGAAATACATGCTCGTATGGAATATGCTAGGTCCATATTGCTATACGGAATGGAAATAGGGACTCTCGGAATTACAAGTATAAGGCGTATAGAAGCCTTTTAGATGTGGGTTTTTCGAAGGATGCTGAAGATCTCTAAGACAGAGCACATGACCAACAACGAGGTACTAAGAAGAATGGGTACTGAGAGAAAACTCCTAAATATTGTAAAAAACAGAAAAACGTGTTATCTAGGACATATTTACAGAGGGGAAAAATACAACTTCCTACGACTGGAAGGAAAAGAGGAAGGAAGAAGAGGTCCAGGAAGAAGAAAATGTTCCTGGTTGAAGAATGTAAGAGACTGGACAGACATGGACACACATTCGATACTAAGAACAGTTCTTTCTCTGGATGTGCAGGTTAAAGTTACTAGAAATATTTTTTTGATAGTTGTCAAATCCGTCTTTTTTCTTTGAAGCTTCTGACCCAATATGCAGATTACGTTTTTATTGGGTGAAATAAATAGTATTTTCTTTTTAATGTTTTTATAGCGTTCAGTAATAAATAATTGGTGGTTTTCTTGCATTTAGTGTATGTAAACACCCTAAAAACTTTTTTGTTAGTATTTCACTCGCTGTAATTATAGTAATGAAACTATTTGGAATCTGAAAACGATTTCACAGCTGTATGCCGGAATGTCAAATACAATATTTCTATTCAAATTTGTGGTAAATTCCTAGAAAATATAATGATTTACTGCTATAACTAGTTTTATTAATTCCGTGTGTAAACTTTTGAACTGTTAGAAATTAATTAAAAGTTTAATGGTCGAACTAAACCACGTTTCCACAAGTTAATTTAAATTAAACGATTAATGTCGATAAACAAAAGTTGATTTTAACTTATATCAATTATTTTTCTTACATTGTTCTGTTTGCATTTTTTGTCATTGCTCTAAATATTTTTGCTGTCCGCAATAGTTTCACCATAGAGTTTAATGTTGTTTATTATCTCTTTTTTATTTTGAATTTATCTAGGTAGTGGTTTGGCGGAGAACTAGCAGAATCACTGAGACAGTAATAGCAATCGTGATCAAAATAACAGAGGAGGAAGTTTTCACGCTTTATATTATAAACCGATACCACAGTATAGCGCTTTAAAAATTTAAAAAGAATCCGTAGGTTCACTCTCGCATTTTCACGGTTCCAATTTGGAATCCACTCCTAGGACCCCGCCATACCGTGCGCAATGGATTTGCGAAAAATGCCGTTGTTGCAAGATTTAAAATATTCTATCAGTTTTAAAGAATATTCCAAATTTATAATAAAATAAATATTATAGAAGTTCTTCAAAAAGAGGAAAATAAATTTCATAAATGGTAAAATTCTTCACATACCCACTATACACACTTCTAAAGTTGAAAAATCATATTGCCTAATTGACTTAATCTATTCTCAAATAATTAATCATAAGTATCTATCGATTGATTGATTACATTTGGCAACACTGATTTTACCCAACTACGTGTTTGTGTTTAATATGCTGTGAAACTACAGTTAATTCAGTAATTTATATATAAATTTCATTTATTTGTTGTTATATAGTTGGTTTTATGAGTTTATTTCGTATTTAATACATATTACTGTGATATTTCTCCAGTTTTCTAAGTGGTTTTATTATTTTAAACAACGGATTATGATATGAAACTATATAACAGGCCTCCTAAAATCCAGCTTTGGTTTGATTCTTCATGCTTTAGTATTAAAAACAAAACTTAAATTTTAAACTTAAAAAACTTAAGCTATGTAAAAAACATAACTTTCTTGAACCTTTTAAAACAGAATATTAAATAGCCGAGAAGATTTATATTGCATGTTAGGATTCGATCAATTAATTTTGTACTCAGCCTGAGGCCTTCTTTAAGTCAATAAATCAAAATTTGTCTTTAAGGAAATCTATTTTTATATATCATAGTGTATATCATATCATATCTTATATGTCGCTATATGTTCATTAATATTGAAAATACTGCGTAGTGGCCTTGTTAATTTTTTCTATCTGAATATATTCGTTGTATCCTCGCCTTTCATTTGCCATGTCGCATGTTAGGATTCAATCATTTGTTTATTTTGTACTGAACCTGAGGCCTTCTTTAAGTCAAAAAATCAAAATTTGTCTTATGGTCAATCTATTTTTATTCATAGTACCCTCATGTTGCACTCATACAGTCCTCGAAGACATACCGTCTCAGGACTAGCGACTTCAACGTGGAGTCATATGTCGCCATGTTACCTAATCTATCGGTAACTCTATCATCTTAAATTATTATAACGTATTTTTAAAACTAAATGTAATTAAACATCTGTTAACAGGTTTTTACCCATATATTTAATCTTGGTGGCTACATTCATATACTCCTAGACACTGATGATGGAACATGGATCCCGAAAACGTTATGTCTTTTTAACTTAGCCCGTTTGGGCCTTAAATATATACCTTTTACAAAGGATTTTTAATTAAATTTTTTAATACATGGTATACAGCCAACTACAGGAACGTAGATTCCTTGTGAATACTTTTAAATATTTTTAAGAAAGTGTTTACCCAAACCGATTTGATATTCAATGTTGTTCAAAATCAGTTAACTGACATTATTCATTCCAAAAATAGAATAACAAGACTGGTGCAAAATCTCAGAGATTTTGGTAATGGTAGTAATTTCCAGTATATACGCAGTGATGTTGTGGACTCGCTTGATATTTCCGAACCCCAAAAAAAAGACAGGACTGACACAGAAACAGATCTCGAAAAATGAGTATATTTTGAAATTTTGGATACTATTATTATGCAAATAGATACTCGTTTTTCGAATTTTGAAGATTTGCAAATTTTTGACCTCTTTGACGATTTAAAATTTAAAAGTTACGCTAAAGATAAATGTGTTGCTTGTGTGAGTCCATTTCAAATAGGTAAAGAAATAATAAATAAGACTTACTCACAATCAATTTAATTTAACTATCAGACGACCGGTTTCGCTTTCTACAATATGCAAAGCATCGAGACCTGAGGATGCTTTAGTTTTACCTATTTACGCAAAAGAATTTCCAAGATATTTATTAGACAGGTTAATTAAAAATTATCCATCATTCTTTAATAAAATAAAATTAGAAAATGAATTAAAAGTTTTATTTGCTGATCCAAATATTTTTGGAAGATGGGATAAGTTACAAGATATGTATAATTTTATATACTGCAATTAATTACAACAAAGTGTTACCGAAATTAATAAATTATTGTCATTAATTCTTTCATTACCACCAACGTCTGCCTCAAATGAACGAGATTTCTCTTGCCTCAAAAGAATCAAAACGTATTATCGAAATACCATGAAACAAGAGAGAATGTCAAGCTTGTTTCAAATGTCAATAGAAAAAAAAACTTTTAAAATCTTTCCAACACTCTAATAAATTTTACGATGACGTTATTACCCAATTTGCTACTTCCAAACAACGTAGACTAGAGTTAATTTATAAACATGTTTAGATTCTAAATTTATAGGACAAAACAAAAAAAAAACAAAAAACAAGAAAACAAAAAATCTTTTATGATGATTGAAGTCTTTATTAGACGGTATACCTATCTGAGGAGACAAAAAATACCTTGCCGACCTTGTGTCTCAAGCCACGAGCCGCCACTGAGTTAGAATATCTGGGTCATACTGAGAAACTATCAGCATATTAAAAGACAAAGTACAAAGCAGAAGAGGTCCGGACAGACGAAGAATTTCCTGGCTCATCTTTGAGAGTAGGTTGCACTATCTACCACTAAACTAGCAGCAGCAAATAAAGTAAAAGCCATGTTAGTCGCCAAAATCAATAGCGCCTAGAGATCTTAAAATGAATTAACGTTTAACTGATTGTTGATGAGTTCCACATGAAAGATTAAATTTTACAGAGAAACACTTTAGTCGATCTACTGAAAAATTAATCAACTCTATTGAACTATAGTTCTCTTTAGATTTTTGTTTAAAATATAAATAAACATATATACTCTTACCTCTAAATCTTCCTCTGCTCTCCTTTTTCCTTTTGAATATTCTTCTAGAAGGTAATAGGCAGCTTTGGAGTGTTCATATAAGCCCATCGGCTTCGAAACATCTTTTTCTTTGTACGCTTGCACATAATTTAATCCCCCCGGATGGTTATTTAAAAATTCATATATATTGTAAGATTGTGCGTTGTACTTTACGTCAAATTTATCATCTTCTTTCATTTTTTCTGAAACAAAAAGAATCATTGAATACACGCTAAATGTTGTATCATATTATTTGAATTGTTATAGATGAAGCAGTACCGTAAAGCGAGGCTACTTTGTGATACTGTTTTAGGTTTTGTGATGATATAATACATACACTTTCGTTTTAGTATAATTTTATAATTACAACGTGATAACTCAATATCTCCTCTATGTTCAGCGAAAACTATAATTTGATATGTTATCGAAATCAAGAAAATGTTACAGAAAGTTCTCACAAAGTCGTCTAATAGATGGAGGTTTTTTTTGATATTTAAATTTTTATATGTGCGGCACAAGGAAACACCCGTGCATGGTTTACAAAGAAAAATTATGATAGCAAATTAAATATATATATATATATATATATATATATATATATATATATATATATATATATATTGGTCATATCATAGACATTCAATTAAAATCAATTTACTTAAGCAAATAAAAGCTGGAACTATAGCTATCAGTGATTCTTCTTTCCATCAGAAGAACCTGAGAATCCTGTCTAACCTTTTCATCGATAATTCATACCCAAAACACCTAGTTACCAAGATTTTATTCAGTTTGACTCCGAACATAGCACGCCAAAATGATGAGATTCAAATAATTGTCACAAGCGGAGAACAAAATACCAATTGCTCATATACTTCACTAAAATACATAAAAGGCATAACACCCAGACTGAGAAGACTTTTTAAATATTTCACTAATTTAAAAATAGCCTTTAAAACTTAATTAACTGCAAGATCTATATTTTCTAAGGTTAAAGATAAAAGTGACGAAAGAAAAGAGATGAAAGTCAAATATTGTTCCAACGTAGTTTACCAGATCCCTTGCAATAACTGTAATTTGGTGTATGTGGGACAAACCACACGCAACCTAGGTAGTCGCTTAATTAGTCATCGTAGCGACAGCAGACTATATCAAGAAAGCTCTGCCCTTGCAGAACATGAAAGAACATCATATAATGAATTATGAATCAGTCAAAATTTTAGCTACTGAATCCAATTACAAAAAAAGACTTTTCTTAGAAATGACATTCATTGCTCAAAATTCAAACGCAATGAACAAAAGGAGGGACATTAATCAGTTAAGCACTATTTACTCCTACCTATTATATTTGGATACACATTCACAATTCAATGATGTTTCAACAACTGATTCATTGTAAAGTTTCCAGGTTTCGTTATTTCTCATAGTTTTCATTTGTTTTTTCAACTTAAACACAAATTTTGTTAAATTTTGATGTGTAATAAGAGTAGTACTACATAAGACAAAGAAATAAGAAGAAGTACTGTCATTTGCCATGTCCAGGAATGACAGTTACTCTTAACCTAACATTCTACCGTTGGCCGGCACACGTGGCCATTTTTAACTTTGTAATTGTCTTTTTCTTATGTGCATAAGTAGAATAATTTGTCAAGTTTGGTAGTTTACACCATGCAATTTTTACATATTTTAATTATTGACTCAATCAATGAGTGTTGCGTGAATTTGTCACCTGTAAGTAGAACATCCACGAAAGACAAACCTCAATAACGTAAGTTTTTTGTTTCGTTTTTTCTCTTTTACAACCTTTTCACTCAATAGATTTCGAAGATGCTTTACTAACAGCAGCACTTTATTTTCAGTTTTTCCTGATGATGAAAATAAACATTTTCGAAAGTTTGAAACTTAGTTAAAAGAGTACACTGAAAATCCCAATAAACCTGAAAAGTACAGGTAGGATACGGTAATTAAACACTTTGATTCGTAGTCTTTGAGGAATATTTTTATTTTTAAGTACCTATAAGAGTCTTTCGAATGCTGCCCATTCCATTTTTACACGTCTGCTTATTTCGGTAGTCTGATTTTCTTTGCTTACCTTGACATTTTGACCCAGATATGTAATATAAATTATATATAAATTTCAATAGCCAGCATCTTTCAAGATGAATTGAAAACAGCTTTTATTTACCAAAAATGAATAAATATCTTTTGACGTTTCATGGATGCTGCAAATTGAAGGTCACATAGTATATTTTATTTTACTTTAAGGATTCTTATGCGTATAATAAACATACCTCTTAAATTACTGCTGGTATTAAGTTTTCATTTGCATACACATCTAAATCTTTAGGTATAATAATACGCCTTATAGTCAAAACGTGAGGTATATTGGACTAACAACGTCATAAAAGAGAGAACTTACAAAATATAGAACATTCCTGAGCGATCGCAGCTTTATTAAATTCCGTTGTATAGTTAAAGAGCTCGTTTTTGTTTATCAAAACCGCAGATCTTTTATTAGATATTTACAGAGCTTGATTGTTTATAATAAAAATATATAGGTACATTGCTATGGCAAAAAAAACGGAAAAAACTCGAATTTGAAAATTTTTATGAAATTCATAATTATGTAAAATTTTGAACTACAGTAAAACCTCCATTAACCGAAATAATTGGGGGTAGGCCGTTTCGGATATCAAGAATTTCGGTAAAATATAACATTGTTTTTTATAGTATTCCTGGTTAAAGTATTGGTATTAAAAAATACTATGAGGTGATTTCGTAATGTTTTCTAATAAGTAAACACAGAATAAGGTAGTAAAATTAAGTAAATGAACAAGTTTAACAAGTTTTTTTAAACACATTTTCTATTTTCTTTTACGTTATCGTTTGACAACGATGTTTTGCAGCTGTCATCTCCAGCTCCATCGTTCATTTGCAGAACGTCGTGGGTTTGCCTCATTTCATCATTTGGCGAAACGTAAAGCAATTCTTAACAGTTTCTTTTTATATAGCTCCATCATATAAACTTAAAAAAAAACTGTTAGAGATTATTTTAGAACACACTAAATTTTCACCTAAATTTACCATAAAAAATACAATACAACTAGTTAATAAAATACAACATATTCAATTACCTAACAACTCCAGATTAATTTCATTTGACGTAAAAAATCTTTTTCCTAGTATCCCTCCTACAGAAACTTTTATTCTAGTACAAAACCTTTTAGACCAAAATAGTACAAATCCAATAATTACATCTGAAATTTTACAACTTCTTGAAGTTTGCATAAACCAGGACTACTTAGAATTTAATGATCAAATATATACAAATAACAGTGCAGGACTTATAATGGGCAATCCTCTAAGCCCATTACTATCAGATATTTTTATGGACCATCTAGAGACAAAGATTTCAAAACATCCCGTATTCAAACAATTTCTATATTGGTGGAGATACGTAGACGACGTACTGGTATGTTTCACAGGAACTAACAGACAACTCGACCAATTTTTATCCTATATTAATTCACTTCATGGTCATATTGAATTTACAATAGAAACAGAACAAAATCAATTCATAAATTTTTTAGATATAAAAATTATCAGACTTAAAAACAAACATGACTTTTCCATATTTCATAAACCTACACATACTGACACGACTATACACAATTCATCATCCCATCCAACACAACATAAACTGGCAGCTTATCATAGTATGTTACATAGATTAACAGAAATTCCGAGGTCAAAATACAACTTTGATACAGAATTAAATATAATTTAGCAAATAGCATTTCTGCTATTTGCTAAATTCGGATGCAACGAACAAACAATTAATAAAATGTTAAATCAAAAACTACACAAGAAAGCCCTGAAATTAATATTTCCACCACCAGAGAAAAAACCCAGTACCTTCTGCTCGATTACATGTACACGCAAAATAACAACAAAAATAGCCAAACACATAAAAAAGAAAGGAATAACACCATATTTCCGAACAAATAACAACCTAGGAAAATATATTAAAAATAACAAGAGCCAAAATAAAAAACACTTAAATAGTGGTGTGAACAAACTTCAATGTAGCGACTGCCCAAAAACTTACATCGGTCAAACTGGTAGAAACGTTAATAAATGAATAGCAGAACATAAAAGGGCTTTCAATAATAGAAAAACAGATTCGACATACTCAATTCACCTTCTAGATCATAATCATTCTTTTAATGACACATTTAAAATTCTTCACATTCAAAATAAAGGCCTTAAGCTATCTTTGTTAGAATCTATGGAAATCAGCAAATTAAAATACACAGATATAATTATTCTGAATGACTAACTTGAGACAAACAGTTCTCCCCTCCCCAACCTATTTCATTAGAGACTATAAATTGTAAACGCATGGATCACTTGAGAATGGATCACTTGAGAAAGGCAATCAGCCGAAACAGCTGTAGTGATAATAGTTAAAATAAATTTTGTGGAAGTTTGAAAACAAAGTTTTCAGTGTTTTATTGTTACATATTGATGTCGGGTGGCCCGAAGAACAAATGAATCTATACTGGTCCAGCTAAACATAAAGAAAATACTAAGAACACAAATAACAGAACAGATAATAAGCTATTTTGGACATGTGCTTCGAAGAACTGGTCTTGAAAAACTTACCATCCAGGGAAAAGTAGAAGGCAAAAGAAGTAGAGGTAGATCTCCTACACGATACACGGACCATATTGTTGCTACCATTGGCGCTCCATTGTCAGAATGTGCTAGATTGGTAGAAGATAGAAAAACGTGGAGGAACATTGGAAAAATTACCTAACAGCTTCATGATATCACGATACCTGCATCAGGTTAACGACTAAGAAGAAGATTGATGTTACATAGTTCTCACGTTTTATTAATAAACAAAGACAAGAGGAAAAAATAATAGCTTTATATTCATCTTTTTCCTTGTGTTTATTTTATACACCTCCCTAAACGAGGTGACCTAGTTGAGTAGTTTCAACTACTTAACCAGGATGATCTCTTGAGGGGGGGGGGTTAAAACTACTGAAGGGTTTCTGGGTAACCCCCCCGGTTACGCTACTGCCTGCTTTAATGTTGAGTGTCCGGACCGCGGAAGTGTAGTAGGTTTTCGAAACGACCCTCAGGAATATAATTGGTGATCCCTGATATAGTCTATCACAGATCTTTGCCCTTTACTGCT